CCCCTCTAGTATATAAGGACCCCCTTAGGCGCTCCCTAGTCCCCATCTCGACCTCTTGGTCATTGGGACTAGGTGAGTGACCATAGCGTTGTACTTCCTTTCGAGTGCTAATGTATAACTTGGTCATTGGGACTAGTCTGTCGCTGTCTGCGTGAAGACTAGCTTTCGTAGGTCTCGTGCCTTCGTGCCGACCTCCGCTCTGCCCTCGTCGAGTTTTCTGTCACGTTTATCCCTCTCCCTCTCTCTTTCCCCTTTCGGCTCCTTGCCGCTCGCCTACGGGGTCATCGCCGAACGTCGACCCGAGTCTACGCGCCTAGTCGCCGCGACATATTACAAATATACGAGTCCCGCATATAACGTGTGCTGAGTTACATTGCTATATCCGGTCCTTCTCCTACCGCCCTTATTCTGGATTCGAGTTGATGACCTACACATATGAGGAGGATTTCGGGTACCACTGGTTCTTCAACCCTTCGTGGTTTCACAAACCAGCATATTCGGTCGAAGAGCCTCTTCTCAAGCCGCTCGTTACTTTCTCCTTAAGGCATCTGGATCTTGATATGGAATTTGGGAATGGGGACTGGTGTCACGGACGTTGGACAGACACCCCTTTTTGCCGCCCATTCCCTTTCCTTTGATGCCCACCTTCCATTTTCGGACCATTTCCTTTCCTAGCTCATCCCAGTTTGGACACTGTAGATACGTTCCCACAGCCGGATGCTACATTCCTGTGATCGCCATGCCTTTGCCTTTTCCTTCTCGCCCTTTGTTCTCCCTTTGTCATCTTCACTGCCTCACTCTCGCGCCTTGTCCTTGGTTGCTAAGCAGCCCCTCTAGTATATAAGGACCCCCCTAGGCGCTCCCTAGTCCCCATCTCGACCTCTTGGTCATTGGGACTAGGTGAGTGACCATAGTGTTGTATCTCTCTTCGATTGCTAATGTATAACTTGGTCATTGGGACTAGTCTGTCGCTGTCTGCGGGAAGACTAGCCTTCGTAGGTCTTGTGCCCTCGTGCCGACCTCCGCTCTGCCCCGTCAAGTTTCTTGTTGCGTTTATCCCTCTCCCTCTCTCTCTTTTCCCTTTAGGCTCCTTGCTGCTCACCTACGGGATCGTCGCTGAACGTCGACCCGAGTCTATGCGCCTAGTTGCTGCGACAACTGGCACGGTCTGCACGATCTCCTTAGCACCTCAAAATACCTCGAAATCCTCAAGCTGATAATTCGCCTGAGGAGATTCCCCCACGCTTTCTCTACAAACACCCACTGTGCCTGTCTTCGCTATCCGAATTCATCTAGTTTCGAGCACTATATTTGCTCCTGGTGGGAGCTGCCTAAACTCACCTGTCTCACCCTCGTAGGCTGCACAAGATGGCCGAAACAGCTTCTCGCCGTGCATGGCTTCCGCCTCTTCTATCTTCACCTCGTCCCTAACAAAACCACGTTTGAAACCCAACCCACTCTCGACCTCAGTGCATGCACCACGATCTCGACAGTCTGGAGCACCTCGTCATCCCGCGACTGACCGGTACAAGCTTGTACCATGCGCCCAACCTCTGGCATCTAGACTTCTGGTCGACGTCCCTCGAGCCCGGCTTGACCTGCCAGGACGCACATAACACCCGCGCGTATGTTCACGTCGCGGTCTGATGAGAGAGCACCGTCCCCGCGCTGCGGACGGTGCGGTTCATCTTCACGCTCATCACACGCACACTGCACGGGGCCTACATGGTCGCACACTCGAACTGGCTGCGCATCTGCCACCCGGACCTGCTGCGGGACCAGTACAGGTGAGACGACATGATCTAGCACCGCTTCCCGACGGCGCGCGTCGCGCAGACGGTCGCCGCCATCAGTAGATATTCAGTAGTTTGGATGCATCCGTACTGGTGCTCCACCACCTGACGGATGCATCCAAGCTATGGTAGACGGGTGCATCCATAGGGCACGCGGTACATCCAACATATGGATGCATCCATAGGTTGTAGATGCACCATAGACCACTGCGGATGCATCCAATGGGCTGTGCACCATATACGCGGACATTGTGATCGTGGTTCCCAGCGCATTACTGGTGACAGGTGCAGAATCCGCAATTTCGTACTGTACGACAAATAGACAAAAGTGATCTACTCTGATCTGCGGCACATGTACACATGAATCCTCCGACATCAGCAAAAGTGCATTTTGATTGGCCTTAAATATCTTTGAATATAATGTGGGCAATGCACCCAATTGAGCCAATCAATTGGGCCAAGCATGTTAAGTTCTCCCCCGATTCCCTTCAAAGCCTCTTGAAGGGAAGCGAGCCAATCAAAGCCAATCAAAGCCAATTGCCAGACGCCTGTATACGTCTGTAAGCGCCTTGCAAGACTCGCCTTCCGGAAGTGAGCTTCAAGTTGTATTTTGTCAAGAGAGACTTCCAAAATCTATTCAAACAGGTTATGTAGAGTCTATCTTTCCATTTTACAGAAGACAGTGGAGAACCAGAGTGGTAGGGGCAAGCACAATCTAGCCAATCGATTGTGCCAATTGGCTTCAATTGGCGCCAAAGAGAATCAAGTCCAATTCGTCCCAATTTTGGCTTCCGTAGCCAATTGGGCCAATCAAGGCCAATTATTTTGCACTTTTGCTGATGGACCTCCCGATGAACAAGCACACCTGCCGTCACACTCTCAACTTGGTTCACTCGGACTACATCGCATAAGGCACAACCCATCCCATAAGTGTCTGTAGAATGTCAGGACTGAGATTGACAGCTGCCAGACACAGCCCGTGGTTGATTTCGCAGAAGCAGGCTTGTGAACATCGGCGTAAGGCACCCTTCAAGCGGCAGACTTTGAGCACGAACATGCCGGTAGGAGTAAGGGTGGATTGGAGGGGGAGTGGCGAGTACATGTACACAAACTGTGGGCCTCCGGTGAGGCCTTGCCCAGCTCCTCCTATGGCATTAAGAAGGTGAGTTCGGCAAGATACGGATAGTAATCCCCTCGCCTGTTGGCACGTTAGAACACATTACGGCCTTGAGACTGCATGACTTACATCTTCTGCTCAAAGAAGACCTGCTCAGTCGTGAACACCTTGATCTGCGTGCTTGGAAGTCATCTGGAGATCTTGGATGGAAGTAGAAGAGGAAGTGCTAGGTCATTGGGTAGGAGAAGAAGGGGGAGGAGCTTACGTAAGAAGATGAGAGCAAGACTTAGACGTATGCATCGATGTATGATATAGACGCGTGACCGAAAACTTTTGGCACCCTGTAGAGTGCTCGCCGTGATATAATTGCTAAACAAACATACATTACTAAGGACCAGTGGCTGAGTGGTAGCTGTCGTCAGTAATCTCACGGTTCTGGGGTTCAAACCCAAGTGGGAGTAATTTTAACTCCCCCTATTTATGGGCTGCTTACCAGGTGCATCCTGGCGTGAATTAGCCTTGTAATGGATGCATCCTCGACAATGACTTGCATCCATCGGGTGGTAGAGCACCGACAAAGATGCATCCAAGTTACTGAAGCTGCTCGCCATCATACCAGATCACCCGCCGGACGTGCGTTTGTGGCAGGATCCGGAGGCGGATCCGGAGAGCAGTTTGCGTTGGAACACAGTGGACGAAGGGTTTGAGGACGATGCAAACAACTGCATGTCGCCTCTGAGATGTTACTCTGAATGGGATTGGAAGACCGAGACTGATTACGAGACTGAGTCTGACTCTAAGGGACCACGGTAGGGAGATCGGTAGGGGGCTTCTGGAGCGCTGTGCTCCGATGTCGGGGCTAGATTAGAAACAATATGTATGCGGAGGATAGTGTTGAACAGGCACTGGTTTACACAGCTTGCCTAATACAGCCGTCACAAGATATGGAACGGCACAGCCGGTTACTGCAATAACCGAGGCTGTACTACTCATGTAGTACACACACAGCTTTGCTGTGTACGCACTGCTTCTCTGTGCGACTGTGCATCCTGGGAAGGTACTGTATAGTACTATGTAGCCACAGATGTACAGTAGTATATATAGGGGACCTCTGTACCCCTCAATCGATAGTTCAGTTCACTCGAACGTCTCCTCTCATCGCTCTTACAAGCCTCTTACAATCAACCAACCCTTCTAGGTGAGTTGCAGGCTATCCGCTGTCGTTGCCACCCGTGGGAGAGGCCTTCGCCCCCCGGGTTCAACAGGTTATGAGCCCTGCTTGATGCTGCAGAATCTGCGCCACTCACTGCGTGCTGCGATCTGTAAGCTCGCAGCTCACCTGGATCTTTTGCCATCGTTATCAATGTGCAACCGCTGCTTGGATCTGGCACGATCATATGCTTGTTACGACTGACTGTCGAGCGAGTAAGTGGAGACGAGCGAGGCAGGCAGGAGCGCCGACGAGCTCTGATCGCAGTGAGACTGGAGCGGAGCTCAACAGGCAGGACTGGAGACAAGGGGTGTAGGACAATAGCGGACGTGGGGACAAAGGGAGCTATTGTCCGTGTGTGGACAAAGGGAAACCGTAGCGAGTAGTGAACAATAAGGAAACGTACGAGGCAGTGGTCCGAATTGAAAAGGAAATGTAGCGCCGTGAGGGCGGTTCGTGACAGTACCCCCCTCCAAAGGATCTGATAAACTCGGGGCTGTGAAGACAAAGATTAGATCCGGCTAGAGTCGAAGCAAGATCTTCAGTCAGTAAGGAAAGACTATATTGCAGCAACGAACTGTACCTAGAGTCGAAGCAAGACTACAAAGGTTAAGTAAGTAACTACAAGTTAGAGGTAAAGGTAACGAAGTACTCACTCTTCAGTCAGTAAGGAAAGACTGAAGAGGGAGGACGCAATCTGAAGTCCTTATATACTACAGAGAAGTGTCCATGACTAATCGAAGAGTGGTTAGTCACATGTACCATAGTGCGATGAATAATACAATGACAAAAGAATTGCGACGTATCGCACCATAGGATGAGTAAGAGATGAGTAAGGCATAGACCTGTCTAGACCGTTCTGGAGTAGTACGGATTGTCCTAGACAGTACCAGAAGAGTCCGGAAGCATAGCTATAGTACACGAGCAGAGAGTCCCAAATATGGTAACATACTACAGTAAGCGACTACAGCTAAGCG